CGTAAATTGAACCTTTAGTGTAACACTGTACATTTTCTTTATGTAGTGATCACAGCTGACGTATTCATGATGGAGAGGAATGCAATCGCTCCCCGTGAACGATTCCTTCAACTCGAAATGCAGGCGCTCCTGTGTGGTAGTATGTAGCACAAGTGACTGGAAAGTGGGAAGTGCGGGTTCGATTCTTGTTACATCGGTAGTCACTCAGAAGACTAAGCATTATTCAGGACACATAAACTGAACCATACTCAAGTCATGCGCTTATATAGAGGAGATGTTTTCGAGAGAACTCGAAAACAAGTGATACCAAAAAGGATCATTTATCGTTCATCCATAACAATTACTGAACTAGGCAAAGTTTTCTGCCCGCCAGTGCCTATGAGTCCATATGCAAAAAAGCAATCATCATGACAGTAGCACCAACCAACTGGAGTCAGTCGCACCAAGAATGACCCGCATTGTGAAATGTTCGGTCGATGATGCTTTGTTTCAGGGTCGGAGGAGCATAATTGATTCAACATGCAAGAAACATCGATTCATCGTAATCCATAACATTTAAAAGCATTACATTATAGCATCTCTTTATATGATTGTAAATCATGTTCGGATATATAAAGAGGCTATTCTGCTTCAACACGGGCTCTGAAGAACATTGAAAACACAAAAAATAAGTGCTGGTCAGTATCTTCCAGGAACGCGCCATGCATTCGATGACAATTTAGAATAGCTGAAATGAAAGGATAGCTTTGAATGCGTATTTGGTCAAAAAACGGCACACAGGTCTTAATTCTTTGAGCCCGGATGAAAGAAATGTTCACCCGACCGTATTAAAATAAGATTCGATTTGTAGGTTGGGTTTATGAATTGCGATCTTGGGTTAAAGCACCAGCAGGGTTTTGACCTTTCGATTCTAATGGGATGGACAGATGCACCAGCTCTAGTTAAGTACATAGGAAGTGTGAGTAATGGAGCGTTCATAGTTGGAGATCGTACGTTCGATTAGGCGATTAGGCGATTATTCAAAATGAAAAGTATACGAGTCGATTAGGCGAGTAGGCGATGAAGAAGGATAAGTATTGATTTGTTGCTCCGCCCATTGAGCGATCGCCTAATCGCCTACTCGCCTACTCGCCTACTCGCCTACAACGCTCTATGGGCGGGCAAACAATCAATACGTATGTAGTCTTCCCGCCTAATCGCCTACTCGCCTACTCGCCTAATCTATACGTATATTTTTCATTATAGACTAATCGCCTAATCGCACGTACGATCGCCAACTATGAACGCTCCATAAACTAAAACCTCACTTTGGAAAGTTGTTAGAAGGGAGTCGAACGCTCTTGAAGTAGGCGGGGCAACCGGGCCCCGGTTGCGACGCCCACTTGCAGCTGTGGAGAGCGCTGCTTGCGGGTCCTTGCGCGATTGCTTGTAACTATCCCGCGTTTCGAAATTAATGCTGCGTCTTTTGACTTGGTTTTACTTGTTTAAATCATTAATTATTGTCTTTTTGTTTGTACTGATGCATATGTCTCTGTTTGTATTAGGCAAATGCGATTGCAGCCGCATTTCTTGCTGGCACGAGCCAGCAAGAAATGCAAGCCAATTCAGACAACTCGTAACGAGTGCCCTCTTCATGGGGAAAAGGGGAAGAAAATAATCGGCCCCGAAAAAAAGACACCGAACGTGTCTGAACAGGCCACTGATTTCGAAATTGTGACATTTCAGTATCGAAACCCTAGTAGATCGGCGTCCCTCACAAACGAAAATTGAAACAAAATACGGACAAATAATATGCATGGAGTATGTTAGAATTCATGGCGTCTAAGGGTCGCTGTCACGGGTCGATGCAGAAAGGTGGGCTACCCAGCCCAGACACTCTGCCATAAGGTAAGGCTTCCAAGGTGTGCTGAGCCCGAACTTGGCCTCTAAGTAAAAAATACCCCAACTCGATCCCGACTCGTGTCTTTACTGTACCATGACGCTCCTCATTTTTAGGAAACACCGTAAATGAAAATGTGAGCCGCGAAACTGCCGTGAAATGGAGTTCGATCACCTCAACGTCAATAAAAATCAAGTATGTACCTGTCACTGTAAAATTAACATTGATAAAACTTTTGATGAGCACTTCCAATTTATACCCACAGAAAATTCTTGTGGTCTAGTTTTTGACTATTTTTGTTTTTGGCCGCAGTCCATGGAAAATATCACAAGAAAGCTGGTCTATGAGTGTTCTGTTTGAGGTGTTGGAGCGGAACGAATGGAAGCCGTACAAAAGTTCAATAGTTCAGTGGAAGAAGATGAAGCACTGCTCTAGAAGCTTCTTCAAAACATGTGACTTGGATGGAAATCGCAGGCTGACGTTGGAGGAATGGAAGAAATGCTTTTCTCCGAGTAAGTTCAATGGTGATCTTGTTTATTCCAC